GGTATAGAAAAATAAGGAAATGCAAAGAAATTAAAAAATAAAGTAAATGGAAAGGAAGGGGAAATATGAATGTAAATAATTGTGGAAATAGAAAGAAATAGAAATAAGAAATGGAAATCAATGTGGGAAGGTATAGAAATAGAAAATGTAAAGAAATTAGAATATGGAAAAAGAATGTGTGTGTGTAGTATAAATGTAAAATAGTATGGAAAGTTTGAAATAGAAATGTAGAAAGAGGTTTCACTACATACTATAACATACTGTTCTATAATAATATCTCAGTTGTGTAAGGTGAATCATTTCTCCATATGTAAGGTAATATGTAAGTTTTTAATTTCTTTCAGCATGTCCATCAGTGAGAAAGACGTGTTATGTTTTATGATGAATGTCGTCAGTCAGCAGGCGGCCAAGCTACATTACAGCTGTCGACGGTTTGTAAATAGCTTTCAGAGGAGCGTATTTATTGTTTTTCATACAAGATCAAGGCTGGTTGGTGCTTGATGGCCTGAGGGAACATTGACAACGCAGACTTTCTGCACAGTAACTTAAAGATGCGATTTAGTTTTAACACTGTTGCTGTGACGACTGGCTCCACAGCGGCCCTTGAGCTCACAGTGACCCTGAACCAAACCCAGATGCCACTGATCCCCTTAGTCTTTTATCAGTTTACATTTCTTCATGTAAGACACACCAGCCTGTATGAACTATTACAAATCCATCAGTGCAGTAGTCAGCATGAAGTATACACAGACAACAACAGAAGCATCAGAAAGCACATCTCCTGCAGAGAGGAGTTTATCTGTTGATCGGGAAACTGTTTTACTGCCTGCTTGCTTTTGTTCTGATGACCCTGAGTTGCTTTATGGAGGATGGTGATAGATCTTGACTGCCAGGATGACCTCCAAAAAAGCCATTCAGTATGTCAGTTACTGCATTTTTATTATCGGAATGAAGAAAACTCCACAGAATGAGAATTTAGTTAGTGCTGTCTGGGCTCTTTTGAGTTATAAATTGCACAAGGCCTGTAAACACGTCAAGAGACATGAGACATCCGTCCAGTCCCAGTGGATCTTCACTCATCCAGTGATTCAGGGCTCAGCATCCAGGACCCGAAGTTACAGAAATAAAATAGTGAAAATTAGATCTAGAAATCAATAAGACAACATGATTAGGCTGCGTTTAGCACTGCAAAGACAAGCCGTTACACACACACATCGCAGCTGTTTTTTATATAGTGTTTAGTGTAGGATCCAGCTGGCAATGAAAATGTTGTCTTGCATATAATTTTATATCAGAAAGTTTGTTCTGCTGTTCGGAGAATGGAGCACTAGTGTCCTCTAGTGGAGAATATTAAATAATGCAGTGGAATCTGAATCCAAAGCATTGCATTACGATGAACAATGGTATGGATTTTCATATGTGTCATTTAAATTAAATATATTTAAATATGCATAACTTTAAGTTTCGGGTATGCAAGTTCAAATTTGTAAAGCTGCATTGTCATGGGAACATTTAACCATTTTCTCGTAATATATTTATTGAACTCTGTGCCTGTTTGATTAAAGTCAAAACACCTGTAAAACACAAAATATTATTCTTTACAAAAACCAAGGCTTATTTTGGGGGTTACACATTTTTGTATCTTTTACATTTTGTAATTTTTATTTTATTTTAATACAACTATTAATTTTAAAGGATTAGGTAGGCTCATAGATAGAATTATATGAAATAAATAGGCTGATGTAATACTATGTAATTCATTTTTTCCCCCCTACATGGTATAAGAAACACGCTTTGAATATATGGGCTTACATTTCTGCCACAATTCTGCGCGTGAAAGATCATATTTTGAGCGCACAAAAGTGCATTTTGCACGCG